TAAACTAATTAGTCTATATGATCTACGAAAAAAGGATTTTATGATCCAATTAACCTTAATTTTACTCGCCGACTATAGCTTTGGAGTGACTTCATTCATTAACGCGCAAAAGCCAATAAATGATGGTAATAGAACGAATAGGAGTGCTATTAATGCCATAATCATAGAGTGATTACAAAATCAACCGACCGCGTAGCGGGAGATTGATTTGTTAATCACGAGTATGATTATGGCATTAATAGTACGACTTAATTCGTTCTATTACTTATTAATTATTTATCTTCTGTAATCAAACTGTTTAAGGGGAAAAGCAGAAAAATACAATTTGTTGAAATTTAATATAATTATTAAATTTTTGTCACGACAATTCTTAGTGAAATAGTACAATTTTGAATTATTATTTATCATATATAATCAAATTAACATATTAGTAACTTCCGGGCATTATTTCCGATATAATCACATGACAACATTTGTTTGAATTATTCAACACACAATTGGGAAGCCATGTTTGTATTAGTCTAGGACCTGTATATGAGTTTGTATGCGATTCATTTAGGACAGGTAATCTCAACTGTTTTAGGGTAAAATGACCATGGCGGTCAACATGGCATATGTGCGAAAACCTGAATCCGGGGCGAAAGTCCTGAAAATGACCCCGCCCTGAAACGGCAGTGTCGACATGGCTCTAACTTCTGAAAAGGAAAAGCAATAGCCTTTCTGAAGTGCTTATAGTGTTTAGAAGGGTTGCCTTTAGGGGTGGTTATTGGAAGGAAAAATTTGTCTAAGTATAATATCTTACCAGAAAATGACCCTGCACCACCCCAGGTAAAATGCTGATTATGCACAAAATAACTAATATGCCTGGCAGAAATTAAATTTTCTTATTTGCTAAAAAAAATTATCATGGGATTATAAACTATGCTTAGTTCAATATAATTATTGTGGATTTCATAAGGATTGTCATTGTTTTCTTTTAATATAATACATTTTGTTTCACTTACCCCCCACGAAAACACGATTTCAGCCATATTTTGCCGTCTTGTTTGCTTTTTATCGCCGAATCTGGCAAATATCATCCATTCGTTATACTTTTACTTAATCATAAATGGCTAAAGAGTATTTCACCCAAGTTTCATGAAGTTTAGGAACTGTGCAGTGTATTTTATCTTCGATATTGTCATATTGTGTCCTTCGATATTTCGTCAAATTGCCGCCATTTTAATGGCTCGCCGCTTCTCTGTCCGATAAATGCCGCTTCTCCATTCTCATATGTATTTAGATTACAGTATCCAAGAGTACTTCATTGTAGAATAGTCCCAATCGAAAAGTTGACAAAATTTGTCCCATTTGGGACGAAAAACCATCGTATACGGTGCGAACAAACGTTTCGTGGAAATATGCACCCACCCCACCCTCCCCCCCGTCATGTGTCCACGAGAAGTTTTCGCGAAGATTGCGCGTGACTTTCAAATGATTTGTTTTTTATTTTGAACCCAAATGGTATACGGGATGGTTTTTCGTCCCAAATGGGACAAATTTTGTCAAATTTTCGATTGGGACTATTCT